CGCAACTACGAAAGAAGAATTAAGATAAATCTAACCATAGCATGAAACATATGGATCCAAATCAGCCCCTTACGAAGCAACGCATAGACTAGGGTTTAAGCTTCTGTCACTCTAGCAACCCATCATCTACTTATTACTTCCCAATGCCTTCCCCTAGGGCCAAATAATGGTGAAGTGTCATGTAGTCGATGTTCAAATAATGGTGAAGTGTCATGTAGTTGACGTTCACATAAAACCACTAGAGGAGAGACAACATACATCTCATCAAAATATCAAACGGATACCAAATTCACATGGTTACTTATAACAAGACTTCTCCCATGTCCTCAGGAACAAACGTAACTACTCACAAATCATATTCATGTTCATAATCAGAGGAGTATTAATTATCATTAAGGATCTGAACATATGATCTTCCACCAAGTAAACCAACTAGCATCAACTATAAGGAGTAATCAACACTACTAGCAACCGACAGGTACCAATCTGAGGTTTTCAGACAGAGATCCGATACAAGAGATGAACTAGGGTTTGAGAGGAGATGGTTCTGGTGAAGATGCTGATGGAGATTGACCCCCTCTCGATGAGAGGATCGTTGGTGATGACGATGACGATGATTTCCCCCTCCGGGAGGGAAGTTTCCCCAGCAAAACAGCTCCACCGGAGCCCTGGATTGGTTCTGCCTAAGTTCCGCCTCGAGACGGCAACGCTTCGTCCCGAAAGCTTCCTCTTGATTTTTTTCCAGGTCAAAACACACCATATAACAGAATATGGGCATCGGGGGCCTGCTAGGTGGCCCACAAGGCAGTGGGGCGCGCCCAGGGGGTAGGGCACGCCCCCACCCTTATGGATGGCAGGTAGCCCCCCTCTGGTGCTTTCTTCACCTAATATTTTTATATATTCCAAAAATATTCTCCGTGAAGTTTCAGGACTTTTGGAGTTGTGGAGAATAGGTCTCTAATATTTGTTCCTCTTCTAGTCCAGAATTCCAGCTGCTGACATTCTCCCTTTTCATGTAAACCTTGTAAAATAAGAGAGAAAAGGCATAAGAATTGTGATATAATGTGTAATAACAGCACATAATGCAATAAATATCAACATAAAATCATGATGCAAAATGGACATATCAAGGAGGGAGTAGTCCACCCTCGGGGCTGAGGGTTTGTACTAGTAGCTATGTGTTTAATCTCTCTTTCTCGTGTTCTTGAGATGGCACAATCTTGATGTATCGCGGACTTTGTTAATATAGTTGGATCGTATGGTGTTTTCCCCTCTCTATCTTGTTGTGATGAATTAGTTTTCCCTTTGAGATTTCATTTTATCGGATTGAATATTTTTATGGATTTGAGAGCACTTGATGTATGTCTTGCTATGGATAACCCGTGGTGGCAATGGGGTATCATATTGATTCACTTGATGTGCGTTTTGGCACTCAACTCGCAGATTCCCGATGTGACATTGGGGTAATCTATGCATAAGGGTTGATGCACTTTCTCGTCTTTGTTTCTCCGGTAGAAATCTTGGGGCACTCTTTGAGGTTCTTTGTGTTGGATTGAGTATTATGAATCTGAAATTGTTTGATGCATATCGTATAATCAACTCACGGATACTCGCGGTGACATTGGAGTATCTAGGTGACATTAGAGTTGGTTGATGTGTATCATATGGTGTTGTTTTAGTACGAACTCTTGGATAGATCGATCAGAAAGAATAACTTGGTGTTATTTTGGTATAAACCCTAGGATAGATTGATCAGAAAGAATAGCTTTGAGGTGGTTTCGTACCCTACAAATAATTTCATCTTATGTTTTCTGCTAGATAAAAACTTTGGAGTGATTCTTCATCGCACGTTGATGGATGCTTATATGATCCAATTATATTAGCATTCTTGAGAGATTGCAGTAGCGAAAGTACGGACCCTAGGCCTCATTTTCAAGCATCGCAGTACCGTTTGTGCTCACTTTTGCTACTCGTTACCTTGCTGTTTTTATTGTTACTATTACAAAAATCAATATCTACTATCACTACTACACTTGTATCACCATCTCTCCGCCGAACTAGCGCACCTATACAATTTACCATTGTATTTTGTGTGTTGGAGACACAAGAGACTTTTTGTTATTTGGTTGAGGGTTGTTTGAGAGAGGCCATCTTCATCCTACGCCTCCCACGGATTGATAAATCTTAGGTCATCCACTTGAGGGAAATTTGCTACTGTCCTACAAAACTCCGCGCTTGGAGGCCCAACACGAGTCTACAAGAACAAGTTGTGTAGTAGACATCACAGGAGGATGAGGCGATGCGTGCGGCCGAGCTGGCGGCTCAGGTGAGCTATGGGCGTATGCGAGAGAAGGCGAGGCAGCAGCGCGGCGAACGACGCGCGAGAGAGGAGCTGGAGGCGCGGGATGAGGCCGGACGCGGCCAGGCAGTGGGGACGGCCGGAGATGCACGAGGCACAACGCAACGTAGGTGTTAGCTACAAGACACACCATTGTCTGGGCGGTGTATGGGCATTATCTGGGTACTGTATGGGTAGTATCTTACCACAGTCTGGCTAGTGTATGGCTCGTGTCTGAGTAGTATACGAGGAGTGTATGGGGATTATACGAGGATTATCTGACAATTATTTGGGGCATGTATGGGGATTATCTGGCTTGTGTCTGGCCATTGTCTGATGCGTGTCTGGTTAATGTACAAGGCTCCGAGCACGGTGAGCAGGAGCGAGGATGCACGCTGGGCTCAGGCACGAAGTCATGGTGCAGAGTATCCTCGAGGACGAGGGCGAGGCGTGCGGTGTCAAGGCTGCCGGCGAGGACGCGCCATCATGCGCGGCTGCCCCCAGGGGCGAGTCGATGTCGAACCCCCGAGAGCTGTCGGAGAGATGACGGCGACATCGCGATGATGACGACAAAAGGGTCCTGCCCGGACAGCGGTTCCAGCAACAGCGAGCCCCACGGTGGGCGCCAACTGTCGTGGTGTTCTCGCGGGGAGAGTCGCGTCACGGCAGATGCCACATGGTGGCTTGAGGTGAGGGCAAGGCTGCAACGGAGATCCGGGATGGGATTGGGCAAACAGCACGCGGTGATTTAACCAGGTTCGGGGCCCTCCGTGGGAGGTAACAACCCTAGTCCTGCATGTTTGGTGTTTATATGTGGTTTATATGGCAGTACAGGGTTGCTCCTAGAGTTGTATAGAGGAGGAAAAAGGAGGCTGAGAGCGCTCCTCTTCTCTGCCTCATGTGTGTGTGTGTGTGTGGCGTGAGAGCCTGATGGTGTGAGCGTCAGGGAAAATGGGCTCCCTAGGCCACCTTATAAAGGGGTGCCTAGTAGACAAGGGGTGGCCCACCTGGCCTAACTACATCGTTGAAGTGTCACATGATGCATGAACAATGCCAGCTGCTCATTTATAGTGCCAACCGCTCATCTATAGTGCTCCACTGTAGAGCATGGGCGTCCCATTTGTGCAGGTCCGACATGACGTCTCAGTTGACTTGGCTGGATTCCAGCCGAACGGGCTCCACCCGGACGGCTCTATCCAGACGGGCTCCACCCGGACGGCTCCACCCGACCAAGCTGAACCCGGCCAGATTCCAGCCAGCTAGGTTCCAGCCAACCAGATTCCAACCAAGCAGATTCCAGCCATGGAGCACTCCCCTGGCAATGTTTTGAAGCGTTGTTTGGCGTCTTGGGCCTACTTGGGGGTCACCCCCCGACATGCGGCTAGGGTTCCCTCACGTCGCTCGTGGGAGCGAGCCGGGAGGGTCGGGGGAAGAGAAGATTATGTGTTTGGGGCTTGAAGTGTGACTTGGGGGCGTCCTGACAGTCGGGATGGGTGTGGTAGATGGTGTCTGGATCAATGAGCATGTCCACATCATTATAGCAGCATGCCAAGAACATCACCCCGCTTGTCCGTCCTGATCCCTATCGGCCAAATCAAAGAAGATCGATCGAGACACCCGACAATTAATTGCAGCTAGCCAGGATGTCGGACTGGATGAATGTCAATCACTAGGTGGAGATAGATCATGACCGAGATGCTCTGATTCCTCTTCTCCTTTATCTGTGTGATGTGTGTTCCTCACGCACACACACAAAGAGAGAGAGAGGGGAATTACGACAAACCAATTTGAAGAGACATACAAAAATTAGCACTGTCGTTGTGCTCTCATTATCAGGTGATTGCTTCCCCGACATTTTCTAATGACTCCTCTCTTGAGACGTGCGTAGGGGCTTGCGCTGAGCGAGGGTGACGACAGATGTTGGTGGACCGTGTATTGGCGATTCATGCAAGCGATGACCAACTCGAGAGTACTCGCGCCTCCCCGGTGCTAGGAGGTCCTCCAAGTCGCACAACTCTAGCGACCATGGTGCCGGGGCTTGCAATCTGCACTGGCCACGTCGATTGATCTCCTTCACAGAGGCGGAGGAGCAAGAAAAGATCGCCCACAAGAGGGAAGAAACAAAAATGAGGGTCGGAGCGTGTGGCCGGTGGAGAAGGGGAGTCAAAGATGGAGACGATGGAGCGGTTGTTTTCTCGCTTATTTCTTCATTAGTATGCGAGGAGTTCAAATCGTGGGTGAAATCGTCACGCACGGGGAAGTGAAGGTTGAACCATTACCACTATATAGATCAGTTTTGAAACGAGTCCATGGTTCAGATTTTCCTATTTCTTTTTTATTTTAACAACACAAGTGAGCAAATAATTCGACCCATCGCCATCTGCGCTCGTCGCCAAAAGTAACAGCGCCCCTCAGCTCCAATCCCCCATCTCCAAGCCAAATCAAACCCAAGGAAAGCCCAAATAGAAAAGCGTGCTGTTTTTTCCTCCTCTCGTGCGCCTCCCACCCCCCGCGATCCCAATTCGATCCGCTCGCCCCTCTCCCGATCCACCCTCCTCCCCCGGCCGCCCAATCCGGCCGCCGCCGCCCGGATTCGCGCGGATTCGGCCGCGGACTCGCGCTCCCCGGGGTCGGAAACCCTAGATCCACCGCCGCCGCCACCATGTTCTGGCGCATGACCGGTCTCTCCGCGGCCTCGCCCGTGAGTTCCCTGCTCGTAGCTCCCCCAATCCCCCTCCGCTCTCTCAGATTGGTTCGTTCGCCCGTCCATATGTGCTGCGGTGGCTGCGAGCTTGGTCGTGGACCCGTTTGTTTAGATTGACACTGTGGATTGGGTGCGGCACTTGTTTGTGGGTTGTAATGCTCGCTTGCTCTTATTTTGTTCCCGGGTGCGCTGTGACTGCGAGTTGTGTGATTTTGCATTGGCGAGCTCGTGCATGTGCTGTTCTCGTGATTGGGTCGGGTTGCAGGGATGGAGTAAATGCCTTGGGTTCGGATTTGGTTATGTTTTGCATGCAAGTTAGCCCTGGGAATGACTCGGATCGTTGTGTAAACGGGGATGCATATGGCAAAGCTGCTGTGTTTCTAAAACTGAATCCCTGATCTGATGTGTGATACTATTTGAATAGCATCGTAAACTGAAGATTCATATGAGTTGGGTACTTACGCTGTTTTATGAAGAACTTCTGTGTTGTGGCTGGAACAGTGTGCCAGTGTAGCTGTTCCTCCCCTTTTTTCCATTCTTACGAGTTACTTGGCCTCTACTGATTTTCTTCTGAGATAATACCATGTTTGAGCAAAACGAAGTGCCTTTCTAATTCCAATTCTATTCGTTGATATTGTGTTCAGTTGCCTTCAAAAAAATCTTGTGTTCAATCATCCAAACTCAGCTGTAACCAGAATTGTCTGATAATTTTACTAAATGGCTCCATCATTCCATCTCATGGCCCACATGAATCATGAATAATAATGATAATTATAATATTATTCCATGGTCAATATAAATAATTTTTTATCCTCAATGATATCTTAATATATTTTCATAGTATTGTAGAAACAAAGGTTATGAATCAACTTATACCTAACTTAATATATTATTGTTTCAGGTGGATACAATCCTAGACAAGGAAAATTTTACACTTGAAGAACTTCTTGATGAGGATGAAATTATTCAAGAGTGCAAAGCACTGAACACCCGACTCATAAATTTGTAATTTCCTCGAGCTTCTGTTTTTAGCTTGAGGTTTACATGCGTGGCATGTTTAATTTATTGTATAACCTTACTATTCATTTTCATACCGTGTACTAGTAGAGTAACAAAGAAGAATTTTATACTTTTCTCTTGAGATAGCTGTAACCGTTGTAAAGGAAACGCAGTCGCTTATTAAGTTAAGGAAATTATGAACCAGTCTACATATATGAGACAAGTACAATTGTTTTTGCACTTAATAGTTGCTGTTTTAATCCCATCATAGGAAGAAAATCTGCCCAGAATTTGTAGTTTGTTTTTGGCACTAATGCTGGCAGTAGTGATTTCTTCTAAATAGATGGTTCATATAGTTCTTTTGTTTACAAGCAAGGATCACTATTTTCTGAGTATGCTCATCTTGAGGGTAAACTGTTTCTATTCCCACTTTCCATTTCCTCTCCAAATAGATGCCTAGTTTTTATCTATATTAACCTGCAAAGAAGTGAATCTGATGCCTTCTGAGCAAATACAAGTTATTAAACTAGTATTTTGTACTGTCAAACCAAATTGGCACGTTGAGTTTTCGTATAGATCATCTGGTTGTGAATGAGTGATATAGTAAATACCTATGTTGGCCTTCAGTTTCTTGACTGTTATGGCATCCAGTGTTCCTTCAACTTATGCTATTGGTATTTCCCAGCCTATAATGCTTGAAATATTTTGTGTAGCCTGCGTGACAAGGCCCAGGTGGAACAATTGCTTCGTTATGTTGTTGAAGAAGTTCCGGATGACGCTGAAAAAAAGCGCTCTTTCAAGTATGCCATTGGTCATTAATATTCATTACCTTTATATGTCAAGGGTTGAGTTTCCTCCTTTGTATAAATTCACCCATTCCTTGCAGGTTCCCTTTCATTGCTTGTGAGATATTTACTTGTGAAATCGATGTCATTTTGAGGACCCTAGTAGAAGATGAAGAGGTTAGAGTAAAAGCTTTCTTGTCCTTTTGACATCTTTGTCAGATATGTTTCATTACAACCATTCTAGCTAATTTTCTCTCTCTTAATCTTCTGCATTACAGTTAATGGATTTGCTTTTCTCATTTGTGAAACCTGATCATCCACACAGCACATTATTATCTGGTTACTTCAGTAAGGTATTTCATTTTATTTGGATTATTTATATCCGCATCATGGCATAAATTCGTTGTAGAAGTTCCCTGCTGAGGCTTGGTCTTGCCTTTTGTTAATCTGATGTTGAGATTTCATCTTGTAGTTGCTGTCATATTTATTACAAGGCTGAAGTCTGTTTGATTACTTATTTGTTGTAGGTGGTAATTTGTTTGATGCTGCGGAAGACTGCCCCACTAATGAATTATGTTCAGGTATTCCTTGCCCTTGTATAAACAAGGAACAGTTTATTAATTCGCACTTAAACTATGGGGTATATGTCCATTTAGTGTACTTTCTTTGAATATTTGGGCGGTTTGGTTAATCAAGGAAAGCTAATACAGTATTTTGCGCTGGGTCTAGCTTTCACGCGAACAATTTTCTTCTGTGGTCACAAATTTCATCCGACAAGCTTGATTCTTGAATATTTCAATGGATTACAACACACTCATTTTTTAATAGGAGCATCCAGAGATTGTTGTCCAACTTGTTGACCTGATTGGCATCACATCTGTAATGGAGGTAAGATGTTATTGATAATTATTATTACATTTAGTGGATTGATGTTTCGGCTGCTACAGTTGGTTGACGCTGCTGCCCCTGGAATTCTTCAGGTGCTGATACGCCTGATTGGTGCTGATGAGACCATATATTCAAACTATGCTGATACAATGCAGTGGTTAGAAAATACAGATGTTCTTGGAATGATCGCAGATAAATTTAGCTCATCGGTGAGTTGGGGAAATATATAGCACTAGGGAAATGCATTTATTTGTTTATCTTGCCTTGTCGCCTTTGCATATATCTGCTTGTATTTTCTGAGACATAATTGCATACAAACCTAGCATTTCATTTGAGAAACATTTTGTCTTGAGATATTTTTTACCTATATAAACATAAGCCTCCTAAATAACAATATTCAGTTTCTCACTGAAAAACTTTAATTGAAATGTTACTAGCAGAAATTTGACATACTGTAATATTGCCAAGCAGGACTCTCCTGAAGTGCATGCCAATGCTGCCGAAATTCTTTGTGCTGTGACTCGATGTGCACCTCCATCTCTCGCTTCAAAGATATGCAGTCCAAGGTCTCAATCTTAGAACTTTATTGCCGTCACAGTTTTAATCTTTATTGGGAAGGGGAAAACCTTTCAGTAGGGAAGTGCATTTTTTTTGGTAGTGGTGAGAAGCACAGAAAGAATATCCATGCATTTCTTCTAATCCTTTACTTGTAAAGAGTCCATGTCCAATTTATGCTTGTAAAGAGTCCATGACTAATTTTATATTAAGAGGCTTTACATAGATGGTTACAAAGCCCTACATTTACAAGTAGGTTTCCTTGTTGGTTTTCCTTTTTGGATCTGAAATATTTATGCTCTGTTCTATGCAATTGCAGTTTTGTTGGGAGGTTGTTCTGCCATGCTCTTGAAGGATCAAGACCCAAGTCTGTGCTGGTTCATTCATTGTCAGTGTGCATATCTTTACTGGACCCAAAAAGATTGGCATCAGCTTCCTATCAAGCATTCAGAAGCAACGTAAGCCATGGGGCATTGGTCACTGCCAGTCCTGAGACAGTTGATGGTATGCTCGAGAGTCTAGGTGAGTGTTGGGTATTTTGTGCAAGATTTTGTTAGGAAAACCTTCTTTAATCAATTCTAGACCTTGTCTACACTACACCGTGTGTCATGGTTTGCTAGATCTAATTTTGTTTTGAGATTTATTGTTATAGCTGACATACTTTTGTAGGTAATTTGCTGAACTTATTGGACACCTCTGCTGCTGAAAATGTTTTGCCTACAACTTATGGATGTTTACGCCCACCTCTGGGGAAGCATCGACTGAAGGTACTGGATGTTGCAAATCCTTTCAGTTGACCATTTGGTCATTTCAATCTTGTAGTGATTATTGTTGAGCCTTGAGCTCTTTGTTTCCTGTCCAGATGGTCTTTAACTTTATTTGTATTTTGTAAAGGTGCATAGTGTTGTCTGGACTGACCTACTACTCTAATTTTGGTGTGGTTACCTGGGGTTTAAACGTAGACGAGATGCATGCATGCTTGGATCTTAGTGTGATCAAATGCTATTTGTATATCATTTCTTTCTGCCGAGCCATACATTACGTATTAGTGTTATTTAGTACTGCATGCTCTTAAATTTCGGCAATGTTGTAGTGGCTTGGTAATTTCCTGCTCGCTTGTGTTAAACTGGACATACCCTTTTTTTTACAGATTGTGGAGTTCATCTCTGTTTTGCTGACAGTTGGCAGTGAAACTGCTGAACAGGAGCTAATCAGCCAATCGGCAATAAAGCGCTCCATTGACTTATTCTTTGAGTAAGATGGATATATTATTTCCTTTTGCTTCATCATCGTTTAAAGGGCTATCTCATATGTTTGTTAAACCACAGGTACCCTTATAACAACTTTTTGCACCATCATGTCGAGAATATAATTGTTTCTTGCCTGGAGGGTAAAAGAACAGAACTTGTCGAACATGTTCTTAATGAATGTGACATTGTTGGTAAAATTCTTGCTGCCGACAAGCTTTCTTCTTTGGCAACAGAATCTAATGGGGTAAGTTATATTTATTATGCTATAACAGCTTTGACTTGATACTACCAAGAATGCCCCATCATGCTTTGCCTCTTGTGTGCAGCCTACTGTGCCGTCTGAAGGGAAAACCCCTTCAAAAATTGGGAATGTTGGTCACATGACAAGAATAGCCAATAAACTCATTCAGTTGGGAAATAGTAACAGCACAATCCAGACTCACCTGCAGGTATCTTTCCTATTTGTGCATCCACTCAATACTTTGTAAGTGTGATTTTTCTATAGTTTTGTATGCCTTATTTTGACCTGGCATTTTATGTTTGAGTAGGGTAACAGTGAGTGGGTTGAATGGCAGACAGATGTTCTGGTCAGGCGAAATGAGGTGGAGAATGTTTATCATTGGGCTTGTGGGTAGGTTTTCTTTCCTTGTTTAGCATGCTATATCTTGCTTTCATTTTCTCTAAGTATCGCTGGACTTGTATGCTGCAGACGCCCAACCTCGCTTCATGACCGTGGTAGGGATAGTGATGATGATGACTTCCGAGACAGGGATTATGATGTTGCAGCTCTGGCCAATAACTTGAGCCAGGCATTCCGCTATGGGATATACAGCAATGATGACATTGAAGAGGTATACCAATGTGCTACTTTTGTTAGATTTTATGGTTCGCTACTATCAAAATATTCATTCCCTGCATCTTGCTATTGTTTCTACTGCTGCATTTTATGTGCAGACATGTTAATAATACACGCTGATCATTAATGCAGGCACAAGGGTCACTTGAACGTGATGATGAGGTATATTTAAGTAACCTATTGTTCTCTTGTTATTTGCACACGATTCTAGCATTCACTGCGATTAAATGTCGAGGCTTTCCTAAAAAAATGTTCACTGCAATAAACTGTATGTAGAAAAAGCCGACTATAAAGTATGAACTGCCGTGTTGTTTTAAGTTTGTTTGGAAACAACATTATGGTTAGTTTATCCACGAATGTATTAATGCACCGACAAGTACTCCCTCCATTCCTAAATATAAGTCTTTTTAGAGATTCCAATAAGGGACTACATACGAAGCAAAATGAGTGAATCTACACTAAAATATGTCTACATACATCCGTATGTAGTTTGTATTGAAATCTCTGAAAAGACTTATATTTAGAAATGGAGGGAGTATATTGTTTTCTTTTGAGTATAGTAATCTCTTATATTTGCCTTTCAGGATGTCTATTTTGATGACGAATCAGCTGAGGTTGTAATATCTTCCCTGCGTCTGGGAGATGATCCAGACGGGTAATTTGCTATCTTAAATTGTACTCCAGCACTTGATTTCTTCTCTTGTAGGAGGTAACTCATTGGCAATGTATTGTGTGTTTAAAAGCAGTTCCCTCTTTACAAATTCGAATTGGTTCACGTTTGATGGAGAGAGAGGTATCAATGACCGTTTAGCTGCCTCTGTTCCTTCGTCCTCACCCAACTCTGAGGAGGCTTCCCCAGACACCAAGGAAGCTGATGATGGTGAAGCAATTGGCACTGAGGATCAAATGGAAACTTTGGGTCTTGGAAATGGTCCTGCTAAGGAGGCCGAAGATGCTGCAGAATGTACCAAACAGACAAATTTGAGCACTGAGAATGAGCAACTAGAAAGTGCAGAAGGTACTGAGCGGCATCTGGATGTTTCATTTCATGGTACTGAAGCTAGCACAGACGAAGCTGCCTCTGAAGCAGCTGAATCTTCAGTCTCAGCTACTGAGACACAGGCAGAGAGAACAGTTGATAAACCAGCTGGCTCATCTGATTTGGACAATCCTATCTCTGAAGCTTCACCCGATCCTGATGTCAATGGGAGTGATTTGGCTGGCTCGGCATTATCTTCTGAGCAAGCTGTCCGTAACGAAGATGTGGAGGTACCGACCAAGACTGATGCAGTCGTGGATACTGAAATGAAAACTGATACAGTCGTGGAAACTGATGCAGTCGGGGATGTTGGAGTGAAAGCTGATGCAGTCGTGGAGGTACCAAGCAAGGAAGTATCTGCCGTGGATGTTGAAGCTAAAACTGGCGCAGCAGAAGCAAAAGAGTGAAGTGGCAGCTTATCTCATGGACTGAAATGGCATAGCTGACGAGCAATTATTAGTCAGACCCCTCAGAAGACAGGCAATCATCTTTGCTTCAAGTGCTCATCAGCCACAAGCAACTTCGAAGCAAACTGCTGTACAATAAGCAAGTGTACTATTTTGCCTTCCATTGTGGCCAATCACTGTACAAATGGGCACCATTGTCTAACTGCACGCGTACACTTCATCAGAAATTGGTCAATTTGCTTCAAAATTTACCCTCCGTTTCATGGGGAACAATTGGTTGATGCGAAATGTCATTTGGCGGTAGTCTCGTGTCTTGCGATATGTGAAAGCACAATTCTTTTTGGATGGCAACTGTTTTGTCTACTTTAGTCTTTTGTTTCATTATTAGGTTAACTTTGGAACTATAATATTTCATATGGTATATTTCTAGTTTAGCTATTGTAATTCTTTCTGACTCGATGTGCTTCAGTTCAAATAGAGCATGCTATTTTTTTAATGAAAATATTTCTGCTTGTTGCTTTAAATTGTTTCAGATCCAGCTTGTTAAACATGTCTTTTCTTGACCAGCTATTCCCTTAGTTGTTCTGAGAACTACCAAAGCAGTTTGCAAAATTTAGTTGAACTAGGTGGACTAGTAAAAATCCATGTATGATTTTTACATAAGATCTTAATTTCATGATAAGGCTAGCTCATGTCCTCTAACGTGAGAAGCTCAATCAGAGTGGAGCAGCATATTCATGCATGTAAGTGACCTTAGTGAAAAAAAAAATGATTTGTAGATTAAATTGCTTGGTCGACTTTAAACATTTTCACCATTAGCTTTGTATTGTTGAGGACTTTGTAAAAAGTTTCGGGCTCCAAAGTTGCCATCTCATAATTATTAAAGTTGTCATTGTGTTGTACCAAAGTTATCACGTGGCAACTTCGATGTCATTGTCTACCATGCGACAACTTCAATGGTGTTTTTTTTTCCTGTTGACACGTACACATGAAATCTAATATTGTGTTCTCGTAGAGATAACTTTGATTGTGAAGACTAAGTGGGATTAGTGGTTTGTAAGATAAAATATTGGCGACGGGGGATTTGAGCCTACATGAAGCCACGCATGACCTGATAACAACCCGTAGATGAAAACTAACATTTTGGCCCATTGTTATTACTACAATATAAATGCTATTTTCCCTTGATTTTTTTAGCCCAAATAAAAATCTCAGTGTTTTCTTTTCATGTGTTTATTTATTGCACCATTAACATGATGGGTGGTTTACCGACAAGAGAACGACACGCTGAGGGCTTGGTCCACTTAGGATACAACAGTGGTGGAAGAAAAAGTGAAGGGCAAATGCGGTATCTTGCACGACGCAACTGCTGCACGACGCAATTGCTGCCATCAATGGGAGGGTGTCTCACACCTAGTGATAACTATAGCATGGGTAACTTAGTTACTAGCAGCCCACACTACGATTACTAACATGTCAATTATATAATTATCATGCTGCCTATGCCAACATGAGACAATTACAATCGTTAGCTATCCTCAATATAGTTACTAGCATGATACAACTATAATTATGAGTTGTCTGTCATATAGTTACCAACGAACAACAATAGTTACCAACATAGCGATTATGTAGTTGCCCAATTATTCGTGATATAGTTAGCAATATAAGACACATAGTTACCAGTTATTCATGCTATAGTTACCCTCATGCCAATTATGCAGTCACCAACCGTCAATTCTATAGTTACGTACATGATACAATTATAGTGCCTGTGATGTAGTTATCAACACGAGACAACTATTAGTTACTAGTTGTCCACGCTATAATTATCAACATAGCGATTATGCAGTACCCAGTTGTTCTTGCTATAATTATAAACATGAGACAACTATAGTAGACAAATATAGACATCAAAAACTTTTCTCGACCATTATGACACAATTATAGTTACCAGTAGCCCGTGCTACAGTTACCAACATGTTAACTATGTAGTTACTAGCTGCTAACTCTATAGTTACAACACGAGACAGCTATAGTTACCAACTGTCCATACTATTATTACCAACATGAGACAACTATAGTGACCTGTCTTCACATGCTACAATTTCAATATAGAGATTATGTACTTACCCAATTGCCCGTCCAATTGTTAGCAATATGAGACAACCACAATTATCAGCTGCCCATGCTACAATTTGTCTAGTGTGCAAGGTTGCAATCACCATGATAGTAGTGATGTAGTTACAATGTTGGTTGTGGTAATATCTAGATTTAGAATTGATAACTATACACGAGTATTTCGACAATCCACATAATATTTGCCCATAACAACATCTATATTTATACCTACTAATAAAGTACAGATTGCCTTTGCTCGTTCACTGTCAGCAATTTTGCATAGAAGTCCTTGCTATTTTAGGTATTCAACCCGCAGCCCGCCGATACGCCCTAAAATCATGGGAAAAAATATATGCCAGAGGGTAGATTCGAACCCATGACCTCTCATGTCGGACTTACCTAAGTTAACCAACTGAGCTATCACATGTTCATGAATAGACATGATGCATTTCTAAATAGTATTAAAGGTTACTTGCATGGCCCTTTTTTAATCAAATCGATGGGCCTATTTGACCATCAAATAATCATTGCTAGGCCTTTTTTTGGGTCGCGAGCCACATACGAAAAACATAATCTCCAGTCCAATAGGCTGTAAAGCATTGATATTTCATGTGAAACAATCCCATTTCGTTTCTTTAAGACGATTTCCACCAGTTTATATAGATCCACAAAGTTGGTTGTAATATCAACAAGAAAGCTAGAAAAAAGAAAGGTGACAACGGACAAGAGGGTGATCAAACCGTTGAAAAGAATGATGGATTGTGGATGTGTTGCACCATGCAAAGAGGGACATGTGGGCTGAAAGAATTGGCTTGACTACGAAGGATCGTGTGTATGTGGGCTGGAAGGAACATCCAAGGAAGGAAGCAAGAAGATGAATTCTAGGGCTGCAAAGAGGGACATATGTGTGGGCTAAAAGAAAAGAATTAACTTGAGTAGGAAGGATTGTGTGTGTAGGCTGCAAGGAAAGAAACAACTAGCTGTGTTCTAAAAGAAGTAACAATGATTGTGTGTGTGGGCTGGAAGGAACATACAAGGAAGGAAGCAAGGGAATTTGAACTAGGGCTACAAAGAGGGACCTAACTTGAGTAGGAAGGATTGGCATATGTGCTACGTGTTGGGGAACGTAGTAATTTCAAAAAATTTCCTACGCACATGCAAGATCATGGTGATGCATAGCAACGAGAGGGGAGAGTGTTGTCTACGTACCCTCGTAGACTGGCAACGGAAGCGTTGGCACAACGTAGAGGAAGTAGTCGTACGTCTTCCCGATCCGACCGATCCAAGTACCGAACGTACGACACCTCCGAGTTCTGCACACGTTCAACTCGGTGACGTCCCTCGAGCTCCGATCCAGCCGAGTGTCGAGGGAGAGTTTCATCAACATGATGGCGTGATGACGGTGATGATGTTCTACCGATGCAGGGCTTCGCCTAAGCATCGCTACGATATGACCGAGGTGGAATATGGTGGAAGGGGGCACCGCACACGGCTAAGGAACGATCACGAAGATCAACTTGTGTGTCATGGGGTGCCCCCTTGCCCCCGTATATAAAGGAGGGAGGGGGGAGGTGTGGCCGGCCCCTAGGGGTGCGCCTGGAGGAGTCCTACTCCCACCGGGAGTAGGACTCCCCCTCTTGCCTTGTTGGAGAAGGAAAGGGGAAGGGGGAAAGAGGAAAGGGAGGCGCTGCCCCCCCTTCCTTGTCCTATTCGGACTAGGAAGGAGGGGGCGCGCGGCCTGCCATGGCCGGCCCTCCTCTTCTCCCTTAGGGCCCATGTAGGCCCATTAACCCCCGGGGGGGTTCCGGTAACCCCCCGGTACTCTGTTAAAATCCCGATTTCACCCGGAATGATTCCGATATCCAAATATAGGCTTCCAATATATTAATCTTTATGTCTCAACCATTTCGAGACTCCTCGTCATGTTCGTGATCACATCCAGGACTCCGAACAACCTTCCGTACATCAAAACATAAAAAACCTAATTACGATCGTCACCGAACTTTAAGCGTGCGGACCCTACGGGTTCGAGAACTATGTAGACATGACCGAGACACGTCTCCGGTCAATAACCAATAGCGGAACCTGGATGCTCATATTGGTTCCTACATATTCTACGAAGATCTTTTATCGGTCAAACCGCATAACAACATACGTTGTTCCCTTTGTCATCGAAATGTTACTTGCCCGAGATTCGATCATCGGTATTCCAATACCTAGTTCAATCTCGTTACCGGCAAGTCTCTTTACTCGTTCCATAATACATCATTCCGCAACTAACTCATTAGTTGCAATGCTTGCAAGGCTTAAGTGATGTGCATTACCGAGTGGGCCCAGAGATACCTCTCCGACAATCAGAGTGACAAATCCTAATCTCGAAATACGCCAACCCAACAAGTACCTTCGGAGACACCTGTAGAGCACTTTTATAATCACCCAGTTAGGTTGTGACGTTTGGTAGCACACAAAGTGTTCCTCCGGTAAATGGGAGTTGCATAATCTCATAGTCATAGGAACATGTATAAGTTATGAAGAAAGCAATAGCAACAAACTAAATGATGAAGTGCTAAGCTAACGGAATGGGTCAAGTCAATCACATCATTCTCCTAATGATGTGATCCCGTTAATCAAATGACAACTCATGTCTATGGTTAGGAAACATAACCATCTTCGATCAACGAGCTAGTCAAGTAGAGGCATACTAGTGACACTCTGTTTGTCTATGTATTCACACATGTATTATGTTTCCGGTTAATACAATTCTAGCATGAATAATAAACATTTATCATGATATAAGGAAATAAATAATTGCCTCTAGGGCATATTTCCTTCAGTCTCCCACTTGCACTAGAGTCAATAATCTAGATTACATAGTAATG